CCTAGTCCGAACTACCTAGTTTGAGCCCCGTGTAGCCGCGCTGCACGGGGTTCAAAGCAGCGGGGATTTAAAAATGGCGACTCCCCGCTTATGCTAATGAAGCCCGGGAAATTCAAATCCCGGGCTTCATTAGCAAGTGCGGTATGCATACATTACCCCGCTAGTTCGAACTAGCAGGGTAGTGTAGACATACCCAAAGCTATCTAATGCAGATCTCAAGCTCCTCGCCATGTCTTGTCGATGGGGAAACCAAGGCACAGAGAGGTGAATTTGCTTGCCCGAAATCATCCAGAAGGCCATTGGTAGAGCCAGAAATAGAACAGTCCTGGTCCTGTGCTCTATCCACTAAGCTACACTGCTTCCAGCATTTTAAGCCACCATTTTTAAAATTGCTTCCACTTTCCCAGCAGTCCAAGCCATCTGGGGGTGAATGTCTCCATTTATTTTCCTCTCAAGGTTTCACCGCTAGGGATCTTAGAGGCCTTTTCAAAAGGTCTGCAGTTTGTGCACAATTGTACAATCAGCCCCTACCTAATTAAGCAAATGTGGGTTTCCCATATGCCTTGAAATCATAGATCCTTTGGAAATGTAGCTGTCCGAGGAGGATAGGATTATATGATGAACTAGAAAGACAGAAAGCAACGGCCAAGCACATCAGAAGGGAGCACTGATTTCTGAGAGTTCCTTTTTTGGGTTCCCAGCGTGACTCACTTTGGGATATATTTTCAGGAGTGCTGAGCGGTGTTCCCTGTAAGCTGAGCTCTTGGGAGAGAGATTCAGATGCTGCCTCACAGATTCAGATCCACACCACTCACCGCCAGCAATGTGAGTGTCTACTGGTGGTGCACATCCACACATGCCTCAGTGCACATAACAAAATTTATTCTGATCATAGATGGGGAAAAAATTAAAGGGAACACTGGTTCCATCTGAGGTCAGTGGAAATTACAAGGTTCAAGCCCATGAAGTCTTAAAAGTTGAGCTACTTGGGGAAAACACGGCTGCAAATGTCTTGCCGGAAGCCGCAGAGGGAGTAGGTGAGAGAGGAACTTAGGAACTCCAATCATATCGTGGTTAGATTACTAGATCTCGCCTGTCCCAGTCCAACTTCTTGTCCTTAAATCGCAGAGTAAGGGGAAACATTAGTGCAGGTGTCAGTTTGGGCCTTAGCTGTCTCCTATGTTTCTGCTTTGTTTAGCTTCCTTAGTTTCTGACCAACGCGTGCAGAACGTACAGTCAGTAGGAAAATGTGGGGAGGAAAGAGGAAGTGATACCCAGAGTAAAGCTTTAATATTTCAGAGAGTGCCAGGCCCTTGGTACATGCCTCTCCTAGACCCATCGGATATCCGTTCACTTTGCGCGTGGTTTGGAATGGGGATAGCGCGAAAGTCATCGGAAAAAAAATTACTGAATCAGCTGGGCTCAAATTAGGAAGGAAATGGAGTTTGCACATACATGCTGCAAAGCAGGGCATTCCCTCTGCATGTGACACGGAACTCGTGAGTGGGATCAAGTGCTGAGTCGTTACATTGCTTTCCCTTTCAGCTGTACGACAACTCTGCGAGTGATTCACGGATTAGCCACTGAAAATTTTGTACTTACCAGTGTCTGACTGTTTCTTTTGTAATTGGGTGAATTCAGTCTTAGCAGTCATTCCGTCTTCTGCATTAGGAATTTAAGAGCAGAACTTAGTTCAGCCACTAAAGTGGCATAACGAAGGGTCGGGACCTGACAGCAGGTACTGAGTACCTCTAGATCCCCGTTCACTTTGCTGGGAGGTACAGCTGCTCAGCATCTCCTGGGATCAGGCCATAAATCCAAAGTAACCCGGTTAACACCAGACTTACATCAGTGTAATTAGCAGAATTTGCTCCACAAGTTAGATTATGGTGGTTGAACACAAGGCAACGCAGAAACCCATCCACCTCGTGTGTGTCTGTGCAAATGGATAGGTGCTTTCTGCAGCAGGTTTTAGCTTCTTCTGAGATATACGGCCACTCCTGGAGAATATGAACCCGTACGCTGGTCTGGTGGAAAATTGTATCGGTTACAAGAAACATCAACAGTTTGGGACAAACCTGTCTGGCTGAAATGGTTTTTAAGATGTGTTTCATAGCAATCTTTTTAGGCAGACTGGGCCTAAGAGTAGATATGAGACTTTTCTGGTGTAATGAATGCTACTCTAAGATTTATGCCTTGACTACAGAAGAGCATTCACTTCTTTCAGATGCCCATTCTTATGACCACGTTTCCACTGCACTGGTCCCCATCTAAGGCTTTGTGTGGACATTCTTATTCCAGAATAGGAGTGGCTTGTTCTTGAAGCGAAGCCAAGTACAACCACAGGTGGAGTTTTTCAGGAATAGCTATTCTTGAAAAACTCTGTGTAGACAAGTCCGCAGCTGGGAAGTTAATGCCTTGTGAAGTCAATGTGTGGCGGAGCAGAATGAATAGACCACACTGTCTGCAGTATGATGCAGGTGGCTGCCTGCAGGGATTGGTTAAGGATAGCTCCTTCCTTGGTTTCTGAGGGACTTGTTTCCTGCGGGCTCTGCCAAAGGAGCCTAGGGAGTTCCTTGGCTGGGAACTCCAGGTTTTGCAGAAGTCGTGAAGTAGCCTTAACCACCATGTGCGTGACTCCCCAAACAGAGCTCACTTGCGGGGAGCATCAAACCCAATCAGATGCCCAGGTTAAATAGGTGTGACTGGGATCAGTTTGTGTCTGCGTAGGGATGGGGCGGAAGGGATATTCCAGCATCAGAGCAGCTGACGGGCCTGCTCCTGTGGGAGCCAGCCCTTGGAAGGATGTTCTCCTCACTGGATTGGCAAAAGGTATCTCCGTCTCCTCAGCAACAGGCTCTCGGAGCCGGCTGCCGAGCCCGGCTTTTCAGCTTGAAAGTGGGGGGCACAA